GTAATTACATCTGTGAGATCAGCAGGGACACGTGGGAGCGGCGCCTTGGGAACGCAGATGCCCAAGAGGAAAATCATCATCTCTCAAAGATGTTTTGGGGCTTGTTTTTATCCATGAGGGCAGTCAGGTTATGATAAACCCAGATACTTGGGTGTTCCTGGTTAAATGCCAACATGTCTTGTTGTCTTCCAGCTAGCGCAGAGCTGCTCCAGTGGCATTTTGGGTAGGATAGGCTCTTGTAGCACTGCGTGGGGTGCTGACACCCCAGGCAAATCCTTCTCATAGGGGCTGCCCCATCCCGACAGAGGGATTTCCTCTGAAGCCCCTGGGAATGTCACTGGGGCACAGTTTCAGTACAAAACCAAACCTGATGATTTCAGCTCCAGCTGAGCCTGTTTGCACAAGCTGTGTGCCAGAATATACAGAAAGGCTAGAAGAGGCATGGAAAATAAAAATTAGAAAGCACAAATCCCCCAAAGACAAAATAATAACTAATGTAATTTGTATTTTGCTAAATCTTATTTCTAACTGAACATCTTGGTTTTAGAGCAGGGGATGGCAGGTTTGCCTCAGTGGAGATCAGGGTCTGGCACAGCAATGTAAAAATGGATTTGTGCTGTAGCATCTTGGATAGGGAAGCTGGTATTTGTAATTGACATCCTGGATTTGGGACATCTTGCAACACTGGAAAAATTAAAAGCTTGTTCAAGCAATCAGTCCCTACGTCCGTGCCAGGACGTGCTGGAGCAGGCCTTCCCCAGTTAGTCATATTTAGGATGGGGAAGAGGCACCACAGCAACATGGGTGATTTTTTTCTGGGCTGTGCTGGTAAGTTTGAGGTTTTCCTTTTAATGTTAATCAGTATATAAAAAAAGCTTGATGAGCATTGTTGTTCTTGTTCTGCTGCAGTGGTGCTGTGTGTGGTTGAGTCATTTCACAAAAGTAAAATATACAGCAACCTACCAAGCACTGTAAGTGCCAGTAACTTGGAAAATAATTTTCAAGCTTAAAAAAGTGCTTTTTTAAACAGGAAAACATTCAGTTTATAACTTCTACATATATATATATAAAACTTTTATCTCCAAGTGTTTTCCTAAAGTATTTAAACCCCAACACTTTGCCTTCTCTTTCTCAGCTTCCTCTTCTATGAAAGTTTTGCATGTTCCCATAAGACATTTGTAAAATCAAGGTTTGCTTGTGTTCTTAGAGGATAATTGCGAGTGAGAAACCAGACTGTAAGTGTGCTTTTTACCTATAATACACAACATTAATTATTAAATTTGAAGCATGTTAAAATTTACCTAACGACCCTCACAATTGCTCCCTCCAGTGAGCTCATGTGTTGGACTCTTCATTGTCTCTTTGCTCTGGGATGCTTGCCCTGGCACCTGAGGATGCTACAGGAATAGCCAGGTATCCTGCATTAGCCAAAGAAAAACCAAAACCAGTTTAACAAATATGTCTAGGACTATGTTATGAGACTTTCGCACATCTGTTTTCTTTAAACACGTTCATGTAAAATAGTGCAAAGGCCTGGGAGAGCCAAGAGCTTTTTACCAGCTCCTGGAAAGCAGAGGGAGTTCTGCAGGAAACATGGGTCATGCTGAAGCTCCAGGACTTGTTCAGTCCAATTTAGATTTGAGGTAGTTCCACAGTCAGCTCATGAGCTGAAGGATGAAGGCACCAGGGTTGAGCTGAAGTTAAGGCAGCTCTGCAGCCTGATTACTGGTGAGTTGACTTAATTATTAAAAAATACTTGTTAATTTGCTTAGCTAATAGCCATTTGTTTTTTACAGCACAGGAAATAGCACAGCAGCTCAGAAGCCAAGGCACAGTGGGGCAAAGGCAAGAGCCACAGGGCTGCTGCCAGCCCTGCAGGGTGGGGAGAGAAGGACAGCAGAGCTCAGGGCAGGGACCTCAGGAAACACCTTCAAATTCCCAAGTAAAGCTTTTGCTCTTTTTCACCCTGTGTTACCCAGCTACACTTGACCTAATTTTCCAGCCTGAGCGGTGCAGAAAAGTGTGTGATGTGCCATGAAAGCTTGCATATGTGTTGTTATATTTAAAGATATCTTCACTTTTTCATTTCCCTGCTAGACTTGCTGCGCTGCAGGGCAGCCTCAGCTCTGGCACACTTGGTGGAAACTGGTGAGCAGAGGAAGGAATGAGAGAGGGAAAGATGTTCCAACTAAACAGACTGAGGGGAAATCAGGGGAGAGATAGACAGTACTTCAGTATGCTGGTGTTCATTTCTACTTTTTTTCCCTTGTCTTTGAAATAATTAAGAGAAAAAGCTGTGCTCCCTACCCGTTCCTTGTGGGATGCAGTGACAAGAGCAGGACTCCAGGTGGATTTTGCTCCTGAGACAGAGCCATGATGCTCTGTAACCCCTAACCAGTGATGTCCTGAGATGTTGACCAAAAACCCCAAATTCACAAGAGTGTGTCAAATTTACCTGGTGCTTGCAAAGTGCTTTTGGGGGGATGAAATCTGCTCACAGAACCTTTGCAAAGCACCACTAATTGACCCCTTGTTATTTGTCAGTTGATTGATCCTCTCATTAACCTAGTCTTTTTAAAAGCCTTCAGCATTCCCAGACACTCTTGATTCTAATCTCAACCTTTCCACTCCATCAGTTACTACTGGCTTCTTCCTCCTCTGGAGAGCTGGGTGAAGGTCCCTGTTGTGCAGGCACTGCTGTCCACCTGTTCTCCAGCATCTTCTTCATCACTGTGCCATCACCTCACTGTGCCATCAGCCCCTCCAAGGGGATGCATCACTCTAAACCAGTCATGGTCCGTCAGAGTGCAGAGGTTCCTGGTGGGCTGTGCTCAGCCAAAGCAGGGATCTGGGGATCTGGGCTGTTGTGGGATGCTCATTCTCTGGATCCCTGAATGGAGCATCCTTTTGCTCTTCTGCCCATTAGCCTCATGGAGATGCTCACGTGAACAGAAATGGATGTGTACGTTGTGCAATAACATCTGAATATTTTGTCTTTCTTACTGCAATAATGTCCAGGGTCTCTGGGCCTGGGGGCCCTGTGGTACAAACTGTTACCCAAAAATAGTCCCTTTCCTAAGGAGTTAATAATTAAGTATTAATATTCTACAAATAAGAACTACATAGTGTTTAATTGAAAGTTGAAGCTGCTTAGAGTGATTTCAATGCAATGCTGAGGTGTAACATTAGCTAGTGTCATACAGCTGGGACTGGGGGGTTGCAGCCCAGAAAGCAGATGGACATGTATGCGAAGGCTCCCTCACTCCTGCTGGGCTATTCCTTTCTCCACTTGTATCCAGAAGCCCCTCAGGAGCCAGAAGTTTTTATTCTTTTCCCTGAGCTCAGCTGTGTGCATTTATGTGCCATTTGCCTCTTTTTTTTTTTTTTTTTTTTTTTTTTTACATACTCCGGGGCTTGACTTTGCTTGACTCCGACTTGTTCTTCAGCTGCCCAAACCCCTCGAGGGGGACAAGAGCCATTAATTCCCAGCAGAGCAGTTCTGCTAGGCTGTGTTAAGGCATAGATCATCAGATTTGCTGTGGCTCCCCCGTGCCTGTGTCTGTAACTCCCTCACACTGTCTTGGGCAGTAGGAGCTGTAGCTGCCTGCAGCCTCCCCACAGACTGGGCTGCTCTGGGAGGGAGGATCATACAGAAAACAGCTCAGCAACCCTCCCATGCTCCAGCACAGGAAAGCCTGGGCGTGAAAGTAAACTTGTTCTTTGCTGCTGTTAAACCAGGAATGTTGAATAGAGTGTTTGGGGCTGTCAAAGCAAAGCTCCTGGTGCGGGTTCATGAGGTCCCAGCCTGTTGCTTTCTGCTTGTGCTGGAAGGTGCTACATGAACGAGAGGCCTTCCCTGTGCCACCACATCAGCAGGCAGACTGTCCCCACCCTGTATGTCTAAGCTTAACTGCCAGCACTGGTAAGGTCTGTTGTACTACTCCTATAATGGGGAATAACCATTTGGAGAAAAAGGAGTGATTGCATCGCTCTTGTGCTTGTCCCATCAGCCCTGCTGCAGTTTGCAAGTAGATGTTAAATACTAAAAGCTTCTCTGGATGACCGTGCCTGTCCAGGACCACCTGCTCAAGGCCATGGCTAACTATGCACTGACTCCACCAAAACAGCTTCATTTTATCTCAGCAGAGAGGGGACCCCCGGCCTTTGGGCACAGGAGACTGCAGCAAACAACGACAAAAACCCCAATTTGCGTGCGTCTAAAATGAAAAGTGTGCTTGAACTGGCCTGCTGCCAGGTGGGTCACACCGGTGTGACCAGGTAACCTGAACACGCCAGCAGCTGCCAGGGGTCTGGGGACACTGCGGGGACACAGGGATACACAGTGCCCTCCCGACAGCCAGAGCTTTCCAGCCCCTGTGGAAGCGTGGTT